CGCGGCGGGGCCGGGAAGCGCCGCCGGTCCTTCCCCCCGCGGTCGCTGTGTTTTCCGGGGTCAAGCGTCCCTGCCCGGGGCGGCCGCCAGCCCGGGCCCTCCTGCTCAGAAAACCCGGAGGATGAACAGCGAGGCGAGCGTCGAGCTTAAAACCGGTTTTAGCACAGGCGGCCGGCCCGCGTGGCCTTTTCCCCAGGCTGCGGGCTGCGGCGTCTGCGAGGCAACTAGGTAGCCTGCAATGAAAAGCCCCTGGGCTGGGAAGAGGGTCCCGCGTAGCCTCCGTCTTCCACGGAGAATGCAGAAGGCACGGCCATGGAAAAGAAACCACACTTCGTTAGGCGGGAGTTTCCTCCCAGGGAGGTGTCGTCCCTCTCCTTGGCGTTACTGCTCGCCACCGTCCTGCTCCTTAATGCCCTCCTCTACCTGTACCTCAACAAGTTTTACATCTCTTCTGGACGCGCCGAAGTGGACCCCAGCCTCTGCCCTTTCGGGTACTTCAAATTGGGAACGGTGAAGAATTGTTCCCCCTGGCTCTCCTGCGAAGCCATAAATAGAGAGGTCAGGAAACTCAAGTGTGTCGGTGAAGGCGCTGTGAAAAAGGTGAGTTTGGTTTTCCTTTCTTCTGGCCTGTGGATAAAGAGCTTTCAGTGTTTGCTGGCTAATTAATGCCCACACTGCTGTTATGATTATCCTCGCAGCAGCTAATTACTGTAGACATCCAGGGGCATGCGGCTACTAATAAGATGCAGAGAACAGGTAGTAGAGCGTGACTGGAGCTCTGGGCCACCTCCCTGACACCGAACGACATCCAGCTACACAAGAAAAATCAGAGATCTGTGAAGCGCTTGTGGGGCATGGTGCAATCGTGGCAGAGTAAGACTGCCTGGTTGGGTGGTGGTATGAAATAATTTAATTCATCTGCATTGCCCATTCCAAAGAAAACTTGGGAAATCGTGATGCAATTACGATGTCGGTGAAGGCTTGCTGTGACAGGTACATGTCCCTTCCTAAAGGCTTGACTGTGCCTGGTGACTGTAATTTGCAGCTGTGACTAAACAGTCACTGGGAGGTCAGCGGCAGCTGGCAACAGTCAGGGGAAGAAGGTTCTCCATGTGTCTTACATGTCTCTCGTGTGTTCTCAGGTCTTCCTTTCCGAGTGGAAGGAAAACAAAGTGGTCCTTTCACAGCTCACCAACTCAGAGCTGAAGGAGGACTTTCTCCATGGACTGAAGATGCTGAAAGCACTTCAAAGCAAGCACGTTGTCCGGCTGCTTGGCTACTGTGAGCAGCAGTTCACAATCCTCACCGAGTACCACCCTCTAGGCTCCCTGAGGCGCCTGAACGAAACTCTCCACATCCCCAAGTACAAGGGCATGAACACCTGGCATCGCAGGTTGATGCTTGCTATAGACTACGTGAGCATCATTCGGTACCTGCACAGCAGCCCTCTGGGCACCTTAGTGATGTGCGACTCGAATGACCTGGACAAGGTCCTCTCTCAGTATCTCCTAACAAGTGACTTTCACATCCTGGTGAATGATTTGGACGCTTTGCCTCTTGTGAACAGGAGCACCGGCAAGCTGGTGAAGTGCGGTCATCGGGAGCTCCGGGGCGAGTTTGTAGCTCCTGAGCAGCGCTGGCCCTATGGAGAAGAGGTGCCGTTCGAGGATGACCTCATGCCCCCATATGATGAGAAAACAGACATCTGGAAAATCCCAGATGTCTCAAATTTTTTCTTGGGCCACGTTGAAGGAAGTGACATTGTGCGACTGCATTTGTTTGACATACATGCAGCGTGTAAGAAGAAGGACCCGGCTGAAAGACCTTCTGCCCAAGAGGTCTTAGACACCTACAGGAAAGTTTTAACTCTGCTTATTCGGGAGGCAGCCATGCCTGGTACTAGGGAAATGTTATAGTGAATCATGAGACAAAAGAACGTACTGAAGTTGACGTCCTTCCTATTTATTTAGCTTGCCTGAAGGGCAAAATCTCTGTCCCCAAAACTGAGAAGATAAGAACAACCAAACCTCTACCTTTTGATTTAAAAAAAAAAATAAATCCACCCAATGCTGGAGCTGTGCAAGCTTCCCATTGGCATGTTTAGTCTATCATGGAAGAGGAGGAGGGAGAGAAATGAAGTTGTGTGGGTGCAGGGGGAGATTTGTCCCTCAAGAAATAATAAACTTTCTTTTGCAACATTTACACAAAAACTCTCTTAAAAAAACTTAGAAAAAGAGTTAAAAAAAAAAATACTGGCCCACTTAAACTGGTTGGCAGAGGACTGGAGAGCAGAGAGCGCAGCATGTCCCCCACAAGCTTTGTGCGGATTCCTGTGGCTTTGGCCCATGTCTTATCTACAAAGTCATTGCCCACGTCCCCATGGAGTAAAAGCAGTGGGTGAACACTGATGCCAGAGCCCCAGCAGCACTCTCTCCCTGATGGATGGGGAATAGGTTGGTTTTGGAGCTGTACGGTCATTGCTGTGTGGGCCCCGTATCCCACACCAGCAAGCATGCAGCCACTTTGTAAGCAAGCAGATGATGCAGATTCCGAAGAGATTCCTTACAGACACATACATGCTCTTGGTTTTTAAGCCTTTGTCCCTTAGTGTTCTCAGATGGGCTCAGATGAAGCTGTAGAACAGGAGTCTCTTGCTCTTTTTTTAATCCACAGATATTCTGAGCACTTTGGAAGAGAGCTGAAGCATATCTTCTTTTTTCATTCACTTATCCTTGCTGAGTGTCATCATGACTCGATGGAAGGGGGGAGAACAAGGAACTGAAAGAGAATGTGACTTCCTTCCACAGCAATGAGCATTAAACGAGAGCTTTGGAAAATAAAAGCCCTTTATTCAGAGCATACAGCTCTACTGGGTCTGAATTCAAAGCCCACTAAGCATAAAGAAAGGCTGCTTTTTTGTTCAGTGTGTTTAGAAGAAAGCTTTTGGTACCTACGTGGATGTTACAGCCTTGTACCTAAAGCTGGAGAGGAAGAATAACGATGCCTTAATCCAGCAGTAGGCTGGGTTTGGTGGGATTGGGATGTACTTATTCTCTTGGTGAAAAAACAGGAGTAGTATGAATGAAACACATTGAGTCTACCATTAGGTGCCTGGGGACTTTCTGTTTTGCTGACTACCTCTCTGAAAGACCTAAGGGCCTGAGACAACTTTCTTGTTTTGACTTGAGAGGTGATTTGTAAGCAGAGAAGTACATGGTCCTTTCTGCTGAGGAGTTTGGTTCTGTTCTTTGCTGTGCCGATACTCCTCTTCATCTAAACAAGACGTGTTATCACTGCACTGAGAACATGCGGTCAGTTTGAATACATAATGTTCAAACGCACGTGTATTCTACTGCTACCAAAATTTTATTATAAATGGGAAAACTTCCCTGCAAATTACTAAATTCATACTTGATTGCATACAACACCAGCAGGAGCCCTTTAAAGGCTGTTCATTGTGGCTTTCCTTTCCCTTTGGGTGGTCTATTTTCTTAAATGAGCTAATTTTTGGAATTTTTCACTTGTGTAGTCCTTCCTGGCAGCTTTCCTGCTCAGGTTGTCAGGAAGCAAAGCTCAGAAGTCAGGGTCTCCAAAAGAGAACAATGATTTTGGATGCTTAGTGTTTGTTTTGGACTTTGACTCAAGACACCTTAAAGAAGCCTGGGGAAAAAGAATGCTCTCTCTGTTGTATCATCCAGCCCATGAAGTCCTGAGTTGTTATTATTAGGCTTAGAGTTCTACAGTTCCAGCATGAATCCAGGATGTGCAACAGCTGGAAGAGCATCCTGTTACAGATCCTCAAAGCTAGGAATCAAGCTTTGAAGGGCCAAGAGTCAAATCTTTTGCATGTGTCCCCAGCAATAACTCATTACCTCTTGTTAGCCATCATGTATACTTGAAAGAAAAATCAGCATCTGATGGCTGTGAAGTAAACGTACCATGCGTTTTTTGTGAGAGTAGCAAGGACAGAAAGGAAGAACCTGCCAAGCTTCTTATGCTGGTCTCTCTCAGTTAAGACAAGCTTCTTGGATTCTTG